CACATTTTATCGCAAAATCGATTGCTTGACTCAAAGTTTGAGGATCAGGTAAGTTGAGCATCAATTTCTTTACTTCGTATTGCAATCCATAAAGAAATTGACTGATGAGTGCAGCATCATCCCACTTGATGTCAATTGCAAGTTGTCGAAATTGTGAAGCATACACTGTTACTGAGCGATTTCCTTGTCGCAGAATTCGGATCTTATTTGTTGCAACACGAGTTGCATCGTATTCACCATACATAGATCGAAACTCCGCCAAAAAAGCTTCCAAATTGTCCAATATTGGATTTCGTTGTTCAAGAAAAGACGAAAACCACGATAATGCAGAACCAGAAAGTAGAGTGCCAATAAACCTGACTTGTGATCCTGGAGTTGGATAGCTTTGCGGTTGAAGTTCAATTGCCAATTGTACTTGATTGATGAACCCTCGAAACTTTGATCTCGTACCATCAAATTTCTCAAGTAAGGCAATTCTTGGTTCTCTAGTGCTTATAGGGTGTTGTACAATTGGAGAAAGAACGTGATTTGTTGTAGATGTTGAAGCAGCTCCGATCATCTCTATATCCCCACTTTCTGCTATTCTTGTTCTTTTATGTGTTGGTGAATTGAGTTGATGCATCGCAAGCATTAACTCCCTCATTTGCTCTTGCATTTGTGCCATTGCACTCTTCATTTCAACAAGCTCTGCCATAATGACACTAAGAAGAAAAATTTGTTTGATATTGCTCAAGACAAAGAAAAAGAAAGACTTGATAACAAAGAAGATACTAAGAACAATATCAGTTTAGAAGTGGGTAATCCACAAACTTCTAATACGCTTATGTCTTGTCAAGAGAAAGGGGTAATCCACTCTCACTCAAGAAAAAATAAAGCTCTGATATTGTAAGTGTACTCTTGTCAATCTTTCAAGGACAAAGACTCGATGAGGGAAAATATACACAAAAAAGCTATCTTGATATAATAAGTCAAAATATAAACAAGTAGGTATATTAAAAGGAAATTAGAATGGCTATTGCCATAAGACAAGAAACTAAAGACTCTTGAACCTGGACTAGAAGCAAGAAAGGAGTTGACAAGAGTGAAGAAGCTTTCACTCTTGTCTCTATATATACTATCTAACTAGGGGCTACGTGGCGACGTTCTATAGGACCTCCAATATGTGTTGACTTTGTAGGACACATGCCTTGACTTACAAGGCAAGTTTTTCTACGTGTGGGCCATATAGTTAGCTTGATCTTCAAGCTAACAACATGTGTGGCACATGACCAACTTGTTGACCACGTTTCTAATCCAAAAAGTCAATTAAAGACACCTATGAAGTCAAAGCAGCATCTAGGAAGTTTCTAGGAAGCTTCTATATTAAATATTATAGAATTAACTTACTTTTATCTACTTTTACTTACTTCTACCTATTTCTATATGTAATTATTAGCTTACATGATTATGGCCATGACACTTAATAGGATCTTATTGTTGTATTTCTTATTTACCTTCCACAACTAAGTGCCTAATGTATTTTTAAGTAAGAATTTACATTGTATGACAGTACAGTTTGAATTAATATTATGTGCATCAATTGCACCATATCCTATCATCTTATCTTTATTAATTCTCTTACATCCAATCATACTGAATATATTACCTTCAACCAACTTCTACAAATTAACCAATAAAAAGTGATCATGCAAAAAGAGCTTACAAGCATTGAACAAAATTGCATCTTGATCTTAGTTCTCCAACCTTTTAACTACCATATTTTTTTGGCTAAATAGGTATTTAAATTAAAACCTACTGCTCAACTCCATCAATCTCAATATATGGTCCAATTTGTTGCAAGAGGTTTCAATTAAGAAGTTGGCATTAATTACGACAATACATTTGCTCTATGGTAAAGTGGAATATAATCCATAGTGTCAATTGCCTTACCACTTTCCACAATTGTCTTATTCAACATCTTAATATTAAGACAATGTTTCTACACAAGGTTCTACTTAAGAAAGTTTATATGGAGCAACTACTTGGATTTTTAGTATTCCAATATACTTATGGCAATCAAATCCTATAAAAATTCAACATGGAAACTTATAATCCATCTCACATTCTACTCAATGAGGGATTAAAACTCAAAAGGATATGGAAATAAAAAATACGAATACAATACAATATAGAAGCATGGTTGACAAATTGATATTCTTAACAAATATTAGACTAGATATTGCCTTTGTAGTTCCCTATGTATCAAAATTTATGCAAACACCTCAACAAACTCATCTATGGGCTATGAAAGGAATATTACAATATATTTGAAAGACATCAAACTATGAACTATATTCTATCCTACAATCAACTCATAAAAACTTCATGGATAATTAAATGCAAATTCGAGAAATGATATTGACAACAGAAGATCTATTAGTGGCTATATCTTTAAACTAAGAGAAGAACCAATCACATAGAAATGCAAAGGACAAAACTCAATATCTACATCATTAACAAAATCTAAGTATAGATCTTTAATGGAATGTTCAAACTACTCATAGAACTAGGTGTAATTTGCAACCTTCCTACTCTTCTTCATGTTAATAACCAAAGTAGCATTAAACTTGTTCAAAATATTGTTCAACATTGTGTTCCATGATCAACCAAACATTTCAAAATGCACTATCATTTTTCTAGAGAAAAAGAGGAAACATGAGAAATTGAGGTAATGTACATACCATCACTAGAGCAACCTGCCGACATACTAACCAAGGCACTTGGAAGAACAAATTTCGGAACTTGTAGAACTTGCCTAGGTGTACAACCACTTCACCACACTCACAACAAGAATTAATGAATAAGCGGAAAAGCAATAGCAATGGACACTTGACCACAGGATTAAGGGACTGTGTTGGAATAACCATGTTCTCAGTATCAAGGGACAATTCAGTTAGAGTTGACGTGGTCTTAAGATAAACTAATTATGGCGTATGGCTAGTATGAACGGGAGTCTCCTCGAGGAGCTCAGTATCTGTGATTCTACACAGTATCACCATGAATTCCCTGTGCTACTGGATTCAATATATTTCCATTTCTTCACAAAGCAGCAAGCAGTGTAATGCTAGTGTGTCTAGATCAGTTCAGAAGCATTAATATGAGCATCAGATTTAAATAATGTGCATCAAAGTCAAATAATGTTACAATGAAATTTTAGATGTCGTTATCATCACAAAAGAATTATGTACACAAAATGTATCTTGCAAAACATGACTAGGTGTGTTGCTCAGAGTAATCGCTTACTAATTTACATTTTTGCTTCCATAACTTTTAAGTTTTAATGCTAGTGAAAAATATTTTTATGAAAATAGTCAAACATTGCATTATCACCTCTTTAATATTAGATTGTCAATAATCAATTATAAAGTCTATCATGTTATGCAGATGATCATATTTATGTGGTGTACATGTATTTCAAAATGAAATTATAGAACGTTAGATGTGTTTTACACTAAACAGTTAGGAAGTAAAGATAAAAAATGAACATAGGATATTGATTTGGCACAAAGGAATTGGCATGGTTAAATGGTCTCTCCATGGCTAGGTGAATAGTTTAAATAGATTTTTTTTTCCAAAAAATTATTCAGAACAAAAAATTAATATAAGGAAAAATGTAACGATTATTTTTTAGTTTTTTTAGGTCTTTTGAAGCAATAGAAGGCTATAAAACCACATTTTTTGAATCATATTTTTTTTGACTAGTTGATATATTATACGTGTTTGAGTATGTATGTGTGTGTATACATACATGTATATACTCTTCCTTCTACACCCTCCTCCCTAGTACAATGCAAGATTCTTTTACATGGACCCTACCTTCAAACCAAACTCATCTTTTTGTGGACCCATGCACAAAGACAAATTCAATGACTATTTCTCACCCCACCACCACTATGGCAAGACTTCCATGTGTTATCCAATCGATATTTATTTTTAAAAAAATCCTCAAGTTAGCTCTTCACCGCTCACACTTGTCCTCAGCATATTTTTTATTGGGTTTTAAAAATGAATAAGCAAATAATAAGGAGACACAATAGTCACAAAAAATATAGATTTTTTGTGATACAATTTGATCTTTTAATCTTAATTTTAAAATTTACCTTTTCCATGATAATATTTCAAATCAAAAAATAAAAAAACGACATATTTATGAATTAATTAATAATTCATGAAAATACACTGATAATAAATTAAGTATCTAATGATTAAATCAATGTCACATTTCAAAAAAATTGCACATATAGTGTAAACATAGGAGAGATGATAATTTGTAGGCTAAATTCATAATTACAATTTACATTCAAATCAGGTATTACAGCATAGCATATCATAACCAATCTAGGTGCTAATTAGACTGTGCCACAAAAAATCATATATCAAATTAAATCACAAGTGACTAAGTTGAGATTCAAGGGTGACAATCGATCTAGTATAATCAATAAAATAAACAAATGTAATGAGATATTTTGATAGAGGTGACATAAATAGGTATATTGCACATGGGATTCAACTACCACATCAAGTACCATGTGTTACAATACTTGCAAATATTTATATATATATATATATATATCTAACTGCATATCAGATAAAAACAAAAAAAAAAAAAAAATCACATCAAAACATTCTACATTAGGTCTATGCAACCCGCGGGCGATCCCATCTGCACCATCTGCCGTGGACGCCACGAGTGCTCGGTTACACATGCGACGAGACCAGCCCGATCCTCTAGCCAGACCCACAGTTAGCTGGACTGCAGCCCCGTGGGGGCGGTGGGCCCGTCGCAGCTCGTAATTTTCACGTTCCGTACCGATCGAGTGCATCTGGCGATGTTGGAACCACACACAAAGCGGTTCACGTCGATTTGCTCCCGTAAGCGGCTAATCCTGACCGCTCCCACTCAGAACCACTCCTCGCTGTCGGTAACTCTAGATTTGAATACAATATGTGTGTGTGTGTGTGTATGTATGAGTGTATATCAGCAATCAGGTTTTTGAGACCGCGATGCTTGACGAGGGTTTGTTACAGCTTCTACTTCGTGAGACTGCGTTGCCGGTGTTTACGAGGGTCCATTACTATCTGTTACAAGTTGCTCCGAGGTAGGATTCCTCGCACTCAGACTTTTTGACGACTCCGAAGGCGCTGATTTTGCTCAACAATTTTCTGGGGTTGCGTTTATGACTTGATTCGTGTAGTCGTGGTTTTATATTGCGTTGATAAACGTTTGTGGAATAATTTGGTTCTCTGGGACTCTTTGTTCATAAGTGGTACACTGGTTGTCTCACAGGCTTGTCCTCTAATATTCGCTGTGACAACACCAGTCGTTTGACTTGGTTCATATACTTTATGGGATTGAATTCGTGACTCACTAAATGTTGTAATAAAGTATGAGAGAGGATGCGCTGCCACAAAGCTCTTGGGTATTGATATGGATTACGTCGTAGTGCTCAGAATCTATCAGTTGACGCGCAATTGAACTGGTTTAATAGGTATTGTTATTGTTCGACTCCGGCTAAGTTTTCATTAGCAGGATTCGCACTGCGTTTCAACGTCGACAAGAAAAACCTAGACGTTTGCGTTAAAACTAGATGACGGCATCGCTGTTCTGACTCATGAAAGCCCCCGCCTCACCATCGGCGCCGTTACTTCAGCAACCAGTGATCTTAGCATTCGTGGTTACTCGCACAAATGTATTCTTAAATGAGGCGCTTTGACCTAGAGCCTGTGAACATTCGGTACTTTGGGCTAAAGTGGCTGACTGATTGGTGAGGGGTTTGCGGTGTCTCACTCCATGTCCAGCATCCGAGGGACTTCATGTAATGAGAAAGCTGTGAAACAACAAAGCGAGATATTTTGCCGTTTCAGACTTTCCAGAGCGGGCAGTGATATAACTTCTAAATCTTAGTTTTGCAGCAACAAGCACAACATACAATTTTCATCATTGGTATCAAGACGTTTCGATTCAGAACTAGGGGGAGCGTTCAGGAGAGTTGAATAATGCCAATTTCAGCTGTAAAAAACATAACGATTCAATCCCCCCACTGAAGTAGAACCGCTGCTTCTTCCGTTGGGGTGATTTGCTAAGAGTTTACCGCTCGACTGGACTAATCAACCACTGCCCTCGGAAGAAAGATGAAAGGGTTCAGGAAGGATTCAGGGTTACTGATGCTGATCATCTTTGCTGTAGTTGTCGCTACGGCGAGCGCAGTCTCAGATCCTATCGAAAGTAAGTACCACGACTCTAATGCCTCGCATGTCTGCAGTCTTGGGCTCTTACCGACACAATAAATCCATCTCTTATTCTCCACCCGAGGAGTCGCCGACAATTGTCCTCAAGTTTGCAGCATTCTCGAAATCCTTTGAGTCCTCATATTTCACTAAACGAAATAGGCTCTCGGAATGTTTCATGTGTCCAGCAGTACTTCCACGTAAAATACCCACTGCTTGGATAGAGCGTCTGCGATGTTAGACTATACCACAGTTCGGGTTTTTTTGGACAGCCTTGAAGATAAAATTTTTGTGTTGCTCACGACGTTCCAGTTTCAAGGTTCTATGCCGTGAAAGTCACAAATGTCTCTGGGACCAAGGTGCTTAACATGGGGTTCTTTTGGTTTCAGCGGCTGCACTGCTGGCTTTCAAGGAAAGCATCGGCGACACAAAGGGAGTGCTATCCAAATGGCAAGGCAGCGATCCATGCGGACCCCCGTCCTGGACTGGCATCTCGTGCGCTTCCAACGCCACCGCATCAAACTTTTCCCATGTCACGGAACTGTGAGTTGACACTCGTCCTTTTCAGCTACCATTCTGTTGTACATTCTGTTGTCATTAGTTTTTAAAGAATAGCGGCAGGAGTGGTCTCCTCTCATGTTGCTGTGGTAGAGCTTAGGTCAGCACCTTCTGAGCCAACAAATGACTGCTCATACTCAAGCGCAAGTGTGCTGGTGACTGGAGGATGATGTTTCGGGATTTTGCAGCTATTTGCTGTGGTACGGTTTCACAGGCACGATTTCACCGCAACTTGGCGACCTCACATACCTGAGAATACTGTAAGCAGCTGTCGCACATTAAAATGCGCGTGCTAATGATTTTGGAAGTAGAAGCGCACCGTCACCGATTCATTCAATTACTGATTCAAATCTTTCGGCATTGATGTAGGAACCTAATGGGAAACAGGATCAAAGGCAAAATCCCACCGGAGCTCGGAACCATAAAATCCATTCAGCTCCTGTGAGTTACTCAAAGTCATTGTGATACTACGAATCTCCAATTGAAGCATCCACAGAATCACTGCTGTTCTCGTGATGTTGATTTGTGTTTGGGGACTGGTGCAGACTTCTGAATGGAAACCAGTTGACGGGACCGATCCCACCAGAATTGGGTAACCTTGCGAGCATGATCAGACTTCAGCTCGACGAGAATCTTCTCAGCGGCAACATTCCCCAGAGCCTTGGAAACCTAACCAATCTCCGGCACATGTATGTCTCCAAAACCCTGAAAACTTCTTCTCTTGCATTGCCATCTGCACCTTGGGAACTCTCCTCCCAAATTGCTTTAACTGATTTCTGGGTGTGTTTGCTTCAGGCATCTCAATAACAATTCTCTTACTGGAACTATTCCAAAAGAAATAAACGGCAACAATGGTTCAAAACTTGTACATGTGTAAGCGTTTCTGTGACCTCCTGCATGTCTACCTCCCTTTATTCGCTTCATGAAGGATCTGCTCCTCACGAACTACTCAATGATTCAGGCTGGTGGACAATAACAACTTGACGGGTCCGTTGCCTGCATCTCTTGGATCTCTGCCCGAAATCGTTATCATGTGCGCTTTTACCTCAACCTCTTCCTGTCATTCCTGTAGCAGATTATGTGATACCAGAACACTCAACAAATTAGTTAGACTGTTGGACGACATGTAAAACGGTGCCGTCGTTGCTTTCCCAACCAAATTTCTCTTTGCTGGTGGATGTGTTCGCAGACAAGTGGATAATAACCCCAGCATCGGTGGCCATCTTCCCGTTGAGTGGGTCCAGAACCCTTCCCTCATGAAGCTGTGAGCGCTCACTCTTGGCCTACATTCTCTTCCGACCCATTTCTTCCTGGTCCGATGTTGCCCTCTCTTTTTAAAGTTTCAGAATTGTTTCAGAATTGTTTGATTTAATCAGAATTGACTGAATCCGTCCTGCCAATACAGAAGCGCGAGGAACTGTTCCCTGACAGGCACGATACCCAATCTTGCTGATGCGACAAATTTGACGTATTTGTAAGTATATTTTTTTGTTGACAATGGAAAAGCAAGATAACTTTCTGTAGGTAGATTACGCATACACATGCGTACAATCAATCAATCAATCAATCAATCAGTTTGTCAATGGTTTGGGTTGCAAGATTATATCCAATTGAAATCGAATCATTTTAAAACGGATCATTCTAAGTCCGCTTCTCGTTGCAGGGACTTGAGCAAGAATCAATTTGCAGAAACGTTCCCGAGCAACTTTTCTTCTAGGCTCATAACCATGTAAACGCCCCTTCTCACTGTTTCAATTCACAGATGAGTATCCTACAAGAAAGATCTGCCCTTTCCGTCGGTCAGCGTAGAGCTCAATATTCATCAAATCAAGAGCAACATTGCTAAAGCCAAACTTCATTTAACAGGTTCTAATCCAGATGTTTTTTTCTCACCGTCGTTGGCAGTGATGTGTCGGAGAATAACCTCGTTGGACCAATTCCTGATACCATTGGTGATCTTCAAGAGTTTCAGGCCTTGTGAGTACTTGGTTGCCCAAACAATAACGCCGATTTTCTATATGAGCACAATAGAATTTTGATATGCTCAATCGTTTAAATTAGTTTAGGAAGGGAGAGTGGAACAAATCCGGAAGTCAGAAACAAAACACTGAAACAACCGTTCGTTACTGCTGTGCAGGCGGTTTGCTTACAACCGTTTCAATGGGACGATTCCCGACACTCTGGGGACTGTCTTCAGTAGTGTACTCGAAAGCCAGCATACTCTTGTGTAAGTTCAAAGGTCCATATGTAACCAAGGTGCTTCACATGTTGCTTCAACGTAGATTCCCTAAAAATATTCTCTACACTCCGCAATAGAGTGTTGATCCATGAACTTTGCTTGCAGAGATCTTCGCAACAACTCGCTCACTGGCATAGACTTGAAGACCACTTAAGGCTGGTGAAGTAAACGATAACTTTACACTCAGGTGTGTGACTTGCTAATAATTCTCTGACAGGAACTAACTTTGCCTGAAGCAAAACATCGTGAATCAGATGAATCATGACATAGATTTCGAGCTTAAAATGTTTGACACACCTTGTTGTCAGTTCGTCTAACACGGTTTCGTGTCATGATTGATCGATCTGTATCTGACAGAATTTCTGGAAATCCTATATGCGATGCCACAAACATCGCGGATAAGTATAGACTGAAGTACTGCTTCGAGCAGGGTAACCATACGGTAGGAGACCATGCCAGCGGAGGTTTAGCGGGGTGTGCGAAATGCGATCCTCCCCAGGTGTCGGTGCTTGAATCTTCCGGGAAATGCCGATGTGCGCAGCCAATTCGAATGGATCTCCGACTCAAAAGCCCAAGCTTCACTTTCTTCGACCGCTTCCGACATGAATTCTTCTCCTTGGTCTACACAATGTTGAATCTTTCCGATTCTCAAGTAAGCATCAGAGAGTTGGATTGGCAGGCCGGCCCTCGTCTACACATTCTGCTGTTCTTGTTTCCATTGAGCACAACGTTCGACGACGAGGAGTATGAGAGGATCTTCGATACTGTTGCCAGCTGGGAAATGTCGGCTGTCACGGAATGGAAACTCTCCGTGATCGGTCCTTACGATCTGCTCGAGTTTCATAAAGGTGAGCTTTCATGGCCCTTGTGCTGAGATATTGATTCCAGACTCGTTCCGGCTTTCCTAAAATCCATACCTTGTTGGGTTTGCGTGAATACCGACCAGAGGAATTGAATTGGGGTGGTACCTGCTACATTTGCCAGTGCAGGAGGGTCCGTCGAATAGAACTTCAAAGGTTGCGATTGCTGGAATTGTGGTATTCATATTGGTGGCTGTTGCAGTTGCCACATGTGCATTCATGTGTTTGAATCGCAAGTACAGGACCAAATTGCTGAGGAAAACCTTCGGTAAGCCTTCATTTGAATAAGAGAGACCATGTTGTCTTTGGTATTTGTGCTACTTCTTAGAGCATCTTGTTCACGAAGCTGATTCTTGGGTTGTCTCACCGGGCGCAGTCGAGAGAAGTCCAGCGATGATGCCGCCGGGTCTGAAGCTTGCCGGAGTGAAAGCATTCACGTTTGAGGAAATTAAGCAGGCAACAAATAACTTCCACGTTGACTGCGTGCTTGGGAGAGGCGGCTATGGGCATGTATACAGAGGCATTCTTCCGGATGGAATGGCGGTCGCTGTGAAGCGAGCCAGTGGAGGCTCTCTCCAGGGTTCAGAGCAATTTTACACTGAAATAGAGCTCTTATCGCGTCTGCACCACAGGAATCTCGTATCTCTAATTGGCTTCTGTAACGATCAAGGAGAACAGGTGCAAAAACATTGTTTTACTCTTCACTGCGATTTTTTCAGAGCACTTTCTAAACGTTTCAGGCTCACCCTAGAATTTCTGGCTGCAGATGTTGATATACGAATTTTTGCCGAGGGGAAATCTTCGTGACCACCTCAAACGTAAGGTTCACTTCCCTGGAGTTTGTAGTTCCCTTCAGTCCTTAAGCCTCCGAATTTTCAGTGGGTTGCAACATACTGAATGTGGAGTGTTCGAAGTACCGTTGCAGCCACTGTGATCTTAGACTACGCAACAAGAATACGAATTGCGTTGGGGACTGCCAAGGCTATCCTCTACCTTCACACTGAGGCAAATCCCCCTATTTTCCATCGCGACATCAAGACGAACAACATACTACTAGACCAGAATTTGAATGTGAAGATCTCCGATTTCGGTATCTCTAAACTTGCTCCAGCACCGGAGATGAGTGGTACCACCCCTGACGGCATTTCAACCAACGTGAGGGGCACTCCGGTAAGTTTTTTCTTCACAACAAAGTCAAATTCATGTTTTTGTTTGTTTGTTTGTTTGTTATTTTTTGTTAAATATTGCCTTGCTATTTTGTGATACATCATGCTTGGGGATACAATTGGCAGTTACTGAAAGTTCAAAACTGACGAATCATTTCAATGTTATTGCACAAAGGGCTACTTGGATCCGGAATACTTCATGACCAAGAAACTGACAGACAAGAGCGACGTCTTCAGCTTTGGTGTGGTTCTACTAGAGCTGATTACTGGCATGTTACCCATTGCTCATGGGAAGAACATGGTGCGAGAGGTATTGAAACTCCCCGACCAGTTCACTGATCAAAAAGTTATTTGTCCAAGTATGTGAGCCAAAAGGACTAAACAAGTAATTGCTTGATGCAGGTACGAGATGCGTTAAATGATGGTAAGTTCTGGGACCTTGTGGATCCGTGCATGGGATCTTATTCGATTAAAGGAATCGAGGAACTTCTGGTCTTGGGTCTAAAGTGTGTTGACACCGACCCAGTAAAACGCCCTCAGATGATTGAGGTGACACGAGACTTGGACATGATTATGAGGGATACTGTCCCACCGGAATCTCCAACCTACTGGAATAATGGCGATTCCTTTGGGAGAGCGTCAGAAAGATGGCCACTTAACAGGAGCAGAAGTTTCATCCCAAACAACTCATATTGGACATCGGAGGAAGAGTTTATTGCAAGTCGTTCATATGGCCCACTCGGACCACCCGTGAGTATAGAGTTGCAACCACGATGAGCCCATAGCGTTACGTGTGGTCATGTTCTTGCAATTGTGTGAACATTTTGGGCGGACATTCTCGAGATTGCACGAGATGAGACTGCAAGAGGCAAAGCAAAAGCGACATTGTCGTCTCTGTAAGCCCGTGATCCTTACCATTATACTTTGTTCCAATTTACATGAACACTCCAAGGAATACTACTTCGATCATATCGTGAGCATCACTTGCTATACAACTAGTAGAATCGACAATGTACGAATATAATGACGACGCTTTTGGCACAATAAACCCTCACACTATTCACCTTCTAGTGCTTACTTCAGTCCACTATGTATACGTTCTACTATGTTCCAGCATCTCTTCAAAAACACCCGTGTTTCTTCCCATGTCCAACTGGTGCAGCAGTAGAGCCGGTCATTCCCGGAGCCACTCCAGTGGTTTCGACAGTTCCACACAGGCCTGCCTTGTGCTGTTGGCGCTCTGCACGCCTCTGACGACGGAGAATGTTCCTCTCGCGCGCTTCCTCCTCTTCATCCGAGCTGCTGGAGCTGGATGAGCTTCCACCGCCAGCATGCAAAAATTTAATCCACAATTCAGATGTTTTTTTCTTGCGCATACAGTTCTCAAATCTCAAGAGCTAGAAATGTGTCCACTTGTTTGGAAAAACTTAGTGTAGTGCTAAAGATTTCAATTCACAGCCACTAAGAGCAACTCCACAAAGTCGCATTGCGACTGGTGCAAAATTTTACCTTGAGCTTACTTGGCCGCCACCTTTCTTCCCGTCATCTCCTTCCTGTATGAGCACACACCAACCACATTTGGCAACTAAATTTCAAAGCGAACCAATCACGCGAGCAATCAATCAGCGATCCGCTTACCAACTCGAAGCATCATAGAAACAATATCTAGTATCGATTGTCAACAGTATGTCTGATACGCACACACAAAGTACGCTGATATCGAACCTTCCTCCAAAAATTGCACTTATCTTGTGACCACCACACATTCCGAGAAATCCCTTCTTCTCGTGGTAACCAGTGGTTCCTTGCTCGTGACCAGGGGCGACAGTGGTGCTCGTAGCATCGTATCCAGGCGCAACCGTGGTGCTTATGGCATTGTGAGGAGACTTTCTGGTGTGACCCATAGTGGTGCTAGTGTTGGTAGAGTGAGCTTGCTCATCCTTGTGGCTGTAAAGCCTGTTCTTAATCTTCTCCATGTCTAAAGGCGACGAAGACTAAAACCCCCTTCTACTGATGGTTTCACCCAAATGCAGCTAACAACGTCCTATACCCTGTGCGCGGTTACAGCAACTTTACAAACTTGTCCACTAGGATTGAACGAGTGATGAGACTAGTGATATAGGCTGATGAAGATGGATATATCCTATGTAGCAGACGAGTGAGGTGTCCAGAATCACGACGTGGCGGGCGATGGCAAAGTCGGGGGAAACAGGTGTTGAAACCAGGAAGTGTTCGACTGCACCCACCCATATTTTCTTGTTGCAGGCGCGGAAAGCGGAAAATGTTTGTCTATTTCGCAGTAGCTCCGCAGCGTCTTGGCAAGACTGAGCGATTGCGCTGTGATCTTCTGGCAACTCCTAGAGTTGAGGGAGCAACCGCGTCCTTCCTGCATGTGAATTATTATCCGAAAATTTGGTGATTTGTTTCAAACTTCCGTCATCTGAAGGAAGTTATGAACGTGGCAGTGACAATCCTTTATCAGTTTTTAGACTCTCTATTGCATTTGCAACTTAAAACAATCCTCTAATTTAAAGCTGAAATTGTAAGAAACCGTTTCGGTACGCTCATACCCACTTTGTGATTACACTTGTGTATGTATTATACATACATAAATGCATGGCAATGATTCTTATGAAAATTGCAATGAGAATTCCAAAGAACTTGAGAATTCTCATTGATTAAATTCTAAATAAAGAAACTATACATTTTTGCAGTAAGTAGTGTGTTGCGTTGGACAACCGGAGAAGCCACTCAACCCACTTTCGTACTCGAAAAGGGCTCTCACCAAACTCAGCATCGAAATGGTTTTTAGCAACCTAATCCAAAACAAAAATTTGGTGAGAATGTAACAGTCCTTTTGTCGGAGAGAGAACGAGCTGATAAGGAACTTGATGAGTATGGAAGAAAAATTTAGCTCAAACTCACAACTCCATTATCAATCAACTTCTTTGCAGGGAATCAAAATGGAGAATTGCAAATATGAGCTATTAAAAAATTTAAAAAAATTAAAAAAAATAATGTACAGAGCAGGATGGTCACCTTAACAGCTACCAGGGATTTTGGGGAGATCGAGCGTTTGACGACTCCGCAAGCATGAAATTAGGGCTGTACTGGTTTACAACGTGACTAAATAAAAGGGCACCCCAAATACTCTAAAATCTACTCAAATCCTATTTCACTACATTGAACTTAAGACCTACTAGTCATTTATGTGGATGATTGTGAATGCGTGAAGAATTCACATAATTCTCCAGTTGTGAAACTTGTTCTCCTTTCGTCCACAAAGATCTTAATTCTCCTCGCCACCAACCGAGAAATAGCACAGTTCCTACAAAATCCACAAGTTGGTTGATAAAAACAAATTATTGTGAAACTGTGACATGTACACTATGATTGCCTCATCACCTAGACCACAACATAAAGTGCTACATAGTCATTAGACAATCAGGATTGCTAAAATAATATGAAATTGCTAATCTGTGCTCAATATAATAACCCAATGCCCAGCATAATCTTCAAATGCACCCTGAGGAACGATGGAACAATACCTAGAGTGCACGGAACTATATACAGCAATGCAGGCTGGCCATTCCCAACCATCAAATTGAGGGCTACGTAAGTCCAGAACAGCCCTATTGAATCAAACTCAAACTCATTAGTTAAAAATCATTGGGTGAAACCAATCAATATGAAATAAAACTAGCTGCAAACATGCCTTTCACAAAATGGTAGATAGATACGTACAACTTTGCATTAAACATAAGTTATGGGAATATGAGGACGTGCTAAAAGTACGTTTGCAGAAGAAGCAGCTCATATTCACTCAAAACCCGTCCATCAAGTTAAGCTCAAATAAAAGAAAAAAGAAAAAAGAAAATAACCTTCACAGTTCCAAAAGCAGAAGACTCACCTAAGCCATAACCCACTGATGTCCACAAAAAGTACCCGTTGAAAAGACTCTTCTTCGACACCCAATCATACCTGAAATCACAAGCAAATACAATTCATTAGAGAAATGCAAATGAAGACTAAAATCTTGGAAGAATGTAGATCAACGAACCCTTGAAAGAAGCCATTCGAACAAGCGAAGCCTTCACCAATTGAAGATTGAGGTCAAAATTGCTAAGCAGCATGGGTCAAGGTTTAATGGATCAAGTCTCCGATAGTCATTGAACCACTCCGCACAAATCTAATGAGCAACACCCAGGGAAATACCGTAAGCAGAAGGACACTAAAAGTCCTGGAAGCAGAATATCTCCAAAGCCGATGATGCTGTAGCCACCCCATGGGTCATACAACCGGGGGACTTTCAGAAGCATAGGAATACCCTCTCCATTGCTCTTATCTCCCCGAGCAACCTGGCCCAGACAAGCTCCGTTATCAAAACGTTGGCACATACGAGTTACATTCGAAACAACTCTCTCAATTACAACGATAGAAAAGATGGCAATTATCAAAATGGTTGGTATGTTATAAATTACCAGCTATATAAAGCAACAAACATTCCAAATGCAAAGAATGTACGTACCACTATCATGACACTTTCATCAAAAATAAGCGGTGACACAAACACCCAAAATATGTCGTATATAAAGGCAGCACCCAGGAGTACCGCAGAAACCTGTTTTTATCCAGTACATTACACCCCGAAGGTGAATTGCTCCGAGTCCAATAATCAAATGTTGACCACACTCATCTAAAATTGGTTAAGAAACCAGCACTACAGAGGAATAAAGATTGACCGTAACTCAAAACATGTATCATTGAAAACACTTCAATCAAGCATGTCTCTTAAAAAGACTGGACGACCAACCTTAATATTAGGTATGCGCACTATCTGGAGAACACTCAAGATCAACGAAATTCCCTGCAAAAAAACACTCTCATCAATTAAGAATATTTTACATATTAACATTAATACTTTGCATGTAACGACACGACGTGTCGTGGGAGAATTGAAAGGGAAAAAAAAGCAGAAGGACCTACTATATGTTCAGATACATGAAGATGATAGAATTCACCTCAGCCATGAGTGAAAAAGAAAATGAGAGTATTCAGGATGCCCAAAATAGTACTTACAAGCGCGTCCTGACCAATCCAGGCAAAACTCAGATTTCGATATACACCCCACAATGATGCAAACAGGAATGCAAAAGGGGCCACTGTCAACGAGAGAATTGACATTGATCCCAAAAGTGGCACACTGAAATATGTTCCGGCTGCTTTGGGAAACCACCTACAAAATACATTGAGTACAAGAGTCATAAATCACGACGCATTAAAATTGGTTAAGATAACATTAAAAGCATTTTAATATGTAAATACAAATACATGAACAAACAAACCTCACTCATACTGGACCCACTTGGTAACCAAAGATGTTATATTCAAGCACGAGGTTGCTACCACTTAGTATCTTAGTCTTACTCGTATAAACAGATAACTTCCCAGCACAGATTATTTGCACGGCCATATTTACCTGGAAAGAAGGGACACCATGCAGGTTTGCAGACCCTGCATTATCCCACCATCAAATGCAACTCACGTGATTATGATTTGAACAGTTGATTCGTTGCACCAAAACATAATATTTTTGAAAATCAAAATTTTTAAAAATAATTTTCTTGATGAAGGGCATACATCTTTAAGAAAACTCTTCTTAACTATCACTCGAGAAAAACCGGGACGCTAAGAAAATGTAGGTGCATATATTCTGCAAGTCCAAGGAGCGACTCTATGTGTTGGGCACGACACACAACATCTCTCTAAAAACCAGAAGTTGCTTGAAACTTAACGACTTTGAATGGGTTTACATCTAAAGATAAGTTTAGGAGATATGATGTTCAATACCAACAAAAATAAGATGAAAAAGATACGCAAGGATGGACGCAATACCTCAAAACCGCCAACACAGAAAAGGATGACCAATAGAAGAAGGAACCAGTGCGACATGAAGTAATAAAGTATGAGCAAAAATACTGATGCAAGAACCATGAACAGGCATGCAGATACAACATTAATGTCTACAACATCCTTGATTGTATCGTGCTCGCTATCAGAAACATAAGAATCTCCTCCATCCTGCATTTGGTGGAAACGATGAAAATCCACAATTAGGCATGGCATTCAGAAACATATGACTACGTATCAAGAAAAGTTAGCAAACAGCGATGGCCTACACCCAAATCTGCTAAAGTTCAGCTTTGGAATCAGAGGTTATAAACAAGCCATACCTTCATACTCCTATAGTGCTCCTGGGCTGCTTCTTTGGCGGTCCAGGCTGACCAGAAAGAGGCACCAAGGACTGTGCCAACGGCCATAAGCCACAAAAATATTTCTGATATATCAACTACAGGCCGCTTTGGAGAGTACATCAAGATCTTAACTGTTCACAAGAAAGCCACAAGGTAAGGTTAAAAATGTCCTTTCAATTGCCATTGTGAATCGAGCATATTCAAGAGGTGAACGTTTCTTCGTGGCTTTAACATCAAATCCGGATGTGAAGAACCTGCATGTAAGTGCTATTACACTCGTGAAAAGAGGATCCAACCAATGAAGGTAAGAGAGCGATATACACAACACACCTGATTCATCACGAAGCAAACCAGCCTCTAAGGTGTCTCCAGCTGACTGGGGCAGCATGACTGACGGAATTTGGATGTCCAGGAAGGTGCCGTTGTCATCACACACCATCTTGTACAACTCTGCATCACACAAAGGAACAACAGATACATGTTGTGATTACGTGCAACTCGCAAATGCGACATTCATGTCCATTCACGTTATCAAAGTAACAGAAACAACCCTCGCATGGTAGCGAAGTTTGCAAATGGAAACATTCGAGTTGTAAAACACCAACTTCTCTAATCCTAACAGAAAAATGAAGGATCCATAGAAATTACTTTTAAGTCAAAGAGAACATCTATGAACGATACCATAAACGGTCAGCATAAGTCTACTCCACCTCTATTTATTACTTCTCTGGAAATGGTTCAAATGTAGCCTATATAAAATCCCATATTGATTGATCTACTACGATCGGTCAACTAGTGTAGAACAACAGGCTCCTATTTGAAGTTTCGCATATGATGGCAAGTAACAGAAGTCTCCTTTAAGTACCTTCTTTATCATTAATCACGATGAGAGCCTTAGCACCTGCTGCCTGTGCCATTCGAGCCTTCTTGGTAAAAGTACAATCTCCACGCCGCACCAAGGCGGCACGACCCGTGAGCTGTAAGAAAAAAGCGACGTAAATATACCTGGTATAAAGTTCTAGCGACTTGTGCGTTCAAACACACAATGTACAAATATACCATTTTTCGCTGATAAATGGCATCATACTGTCTATTCAAGCGATTCACAGCTCGCCAATCGGCCAGGAACCATTTGCTGCACCATCAAGGAGTAGTATGCCAGAAACATGAGTAACTGACCAGTAAAGAGGACATGTTGCACAAGGTCGCAGGACTTGGCACTGCCAAAGGGAGGGCATTGATTTCCTGAGCACGGTTTGATATTGATTCTCCAAAACGCGCACTCACGCCAACTAGTTCAGTCGTTTCAACGCCATCCATCCAAGTTCGTACTTTAACCTGCAATGTGAGCACTTAGATTGGAGTACTAAAACTGATGGACACAAGTCTTCCAAACCAAAAATTTCCATCATTGTCTGACGCGGCCCGGATTTCAGAGGCACCATTATCTTAAACGATCAGACCTATTACAAATATATTCCACGATAATTCTAGCTTACACCTGAGTAGTCATCAAGCACATAACATTCAAGTAACTTCTCTTCAACATCCACGTCAATCAATTCATCAAATGAAAAGTATGTCTGCTAACAGGATTAACTCTCAAAAATCATGCACTCTAGTCACAGTATCAATCGGGCTCAATTTGGTGCACAAATGAACTAAGCTGCATGTCAACATTCATATAATATTGCCGTCAAACACATTTCGCCTCTGAAAGTATAATGATCCTAATCAAATCCAGAAAACAAACAACCAGTATCACAAAATAGAGTATATCAATTCGAGAAATCTCCGCGCTACTTGTGTTGACTTCTCACAAATTCATGTGACGTCAGAACATCATAAATTCACCTAAAATATCATAAAAAGCATATTCCTCAAAAAAAATCTCATGCTACTTCTCCTTCTTCACGCACTCTACTACAATAACCTTGCCTAACTCCTACAAACCCTAACAGCTCCAACCTCTTCATTCCTCAGCCGATTACTATTCCTCGAATTCAAATTCACTCCATCAAGTTGTAGTAAACACACGCAGAGCTTACCAGGACGAAACTATTCTCGCATCCAGGCTGCTTCGGCGTATCCGCATCATCGTGCATGATGTCCCTGTTCCCTCGCCCATCACAGGGACGCGCCGCCAGCAGCAGCAGCAGCAAAACAACCGTCACGATCCACACAAAACGCCCGAGGCGCCAGTCCTCCTTCGACTCCATCCACACCAGATTCAACACCAAAGGCCTCCTGGTTCCTCACACAACCCTACACCGTCCCTCCTTCCCACATCGCTCCCACTACAATTCGCCTCTCCCCGCGAGATTATTCTCGGCAAAAGCCTGAACTCTCTCTCGGTCTCTCTCTCTCTCGTCTTCCGAGCCAAGGGCTTGCTCTCGCCCCCTCCACCATCGCCGCTCCCGGACTAGCTTTCGCATCTCAATTGTAGATCCTAGAAGATCTTCATATCCTTTCTTAAAAGCCTAGACATCAATTGAATTTGAGATTCTTAAAAAAGAAACGGTTTAGAAAAAGCGATCGAAACAGGATAGAGCTTCACCACAAAATCTACGAGAATAGTAAATTTATTGTACGTCATGTGAGATCTAGGAAACGAGGTATGGGACGAGTTTAGAAAACTGGGGGTGGGAAAGAGGTTTCCGGAGTAGGTACGGAGTGATTCCCGTACTTGTCAAAATCCAGATTTCAAAGGCGTGGGATTTCTAATTTTGGTGTTTTTCGCTAGAGTGGGAGACCTTTCTTAAGAAGCCGTACACACATGTTGTTGAGATTCACACCCTAAAATTAATCTGTACTCTATCTTCACCAACTGAAGAGCACAAGGGCCATATATATATATATATATAGAATTGTAGTTGTATACTTGTTAATTAGGTTTCATCGACCTAAGAATGCTAGTAGTTACATGTCATGCACATCTTTTGGTGACAATTCCATGTTGTAGTTTTCAAAAGGTTTGTTAGTTTTTCCAAACAAAGCATGAGAGCAGATCAAGTGAAACAAATCATGACATTCAACGTAGTGTGAATCATGTTGGAATCCTGTGGAACGATTCCAAAGAAAACGGATTTTATTTTTCTATTTTTTTTAAACACTGTTGTAAGATTGATCTTTTCATGAAACTTCCAAGATTGTTATTTCTCACAATTTTGCATTTCAGAAGCTTAACGTACACATATCCCCTGCTGAAAAAAGGAAGTCGAAGAACAATAAAGCGATTGTTAACATATACATATAAATATAAATATAAATAAAGACTTAGGAATTTTTTTCTTAAAACAATTGGGGAATTTTCTTTTGTAGAATAAAATTAAGTAAAAATCTGTCACAAAAGCACTTGTCTTTTTCCAAACTGATTCGTTATATTTCTAAAATATTAAATCATGTAATTCTCTGTTTTGATTTCAAGGTTACCAACTATACATTTTGGCAGATTGAAGCGAAATGGGTCAGTTCGTTCACAAAACTAAATTAAGAATTAAAAAATAAATAAACAAACAGAAAAAACTTGTAAATAAATTAAATTTTATTAAAAAACGAAAGTCAAATTCCAGAAACAAAAAAACTGAGCATTATTGCGAATTTAACTATTTTTTAATGAATAGTGGAACGGAAACCACATGTTTTTAGAAACCGCTCACCGTCAAAACTTGCCTCATGCCTCAAATCACCCACATGACAACCTAGTCATTGGCCAGAAACGTGAATACAAACTAATAACTGAATTGGGCTTTCTTATTTATCACGGCTACTCACACTAATAATACCACTCATAATATTCTGATAATATAAGAATTTATTCCTTGAAGCGGTAACACCACCAACATTCACAACTTTGTGTCGGTATCTGAGAGGCTTGCGCGCTGCAGTATTCGGTGAAGAGCTTGGCACTGGATCAATGGTTTCAAGCCTGTGTTGTGTCTGTGGCTGGTCCTGCAGTTTGCAAGACTAGGCTTCGAGGCTAGTAAGAGAATCCCGATTCAACTCGTAAAATGGTGTTGAAACAACAAACTGCAATACTACTGTTTCACTGAGGAAAGATCAGCGACTTTGTTTCAGGAGTTTTGTTCTGGAGGTTATCAAGCGGGTAGCTGGCACTGGAGGGAACATGACGGACTGAAACCTGAACACTCGCACCCTCTCATCGATATTTGAGAGTTGGGGGAATCTTGCTAGTTGTTTGGATTGCGAGGTTCAGGTGCTAAAATTTGCTAACAATTTCTTGTCTGATGTGAGACAATAGCAAAAACTTAATTGCAAGAGCAAAGGGATGCTGGAGATTGAGTGACGATGCTGATTCACTCGCTCTCTTCAGCACCTCGGGTACGTGCTGTGGCGGGCACAGCTACAGTTTCGTGCTTTCAGCGACAAACTGAGTGTGAAGTTTATCAATCGTCATCCCGAAGCGTGTGTGACAGATCTGATCTTTCAATGGTGAAGAGGAAATGTGGCCTCGGACCCCACAGCAAGTAGAAGATTGATATAAATTTCGCATTACGACAAAATTGGAGAATGATGTCGATGTCATGGTGGAGATTCCAGCTGAAATCACCCATGAGCTGAACATGATAGCACTGAATCATATTGCCCGTAATTGTAGTTCTGCTGAGGGGTACTAGTCGGTGTTTGATCTAGTCAATTTAGAATCTTTAGAGAGTTAATACCTCACGTCCCAAATTCTTCTGTTCCATTTTGTAAAGCAGTTATGAATATTATTATTGTTGTTGTTATATTTATACACATGGTACCTGTCTTTTACACGGTAGGTGAAACTAGAATCCTTCTGGAAGGGACTGTATTAGATTTTATAAAACATGTAAGGCGGCTTGAGCAAAAGGTATCCTAACATTTCCAACCATCCTTGTCCTATCAAAAGCCAATTTTTGGACCATGTGCATGTTGGAGTCCACACAAAGAATAGGTACTGATTTAATTTTTCTAATGATTTTTATTTTTTTTTCTAAAAAAACAAAAATAAAATAATTACCTAAGACTGAAGCATTTTTTTTTTACTTTTTTTATACTTGAAAATTTGTAAGTTTCATTGAGAATATTAAACACCAAAATTCTAATTTTTATATATATTTTATAAATAGTTATATGTATTAAATTTATAATGAAAGTCAAATAAGACAAATAGTAGTTTATTTATATTTTTTATTCCCATGATTAGCTACATTTGTATAGTCAATAAGGTCTTAGACTAAATACATGTTGTTGATATATTATTGGTGTTGCTAATGCCACCATAGTTTTTGCTATTGCAACCATAATTTATTCTTATTTTTTTTTATAAAAGCATATAGATATTAATAAAAAAATATTTTTGGAATATAAAAATTAAGAGAATATGTCAAGTGGGTGGTAGATTGCGGTGGCAATGGCAAAAATTGTAGTAGCATTTGGTGGATAGAAGATTGTGGTGGCAGTAGTAATATCCTATATTATTGTTTTGGTCCAATTTATTAATCATATTTTATACTCTATTAAGACTACAATTTTATCACAATATTATTGGTACTTTGGTCTTCCTACCAAAATAAGAGGTTAGAGTTTTTTGCATGTTAGCTTAAATTCTAGCTTAAAATTATTTATTCTAGCTTAAAATCTAAACTTATAAATGGTATTTTTTAATATATATATATTTTTTATAATTTTACTTAAAATCTCTATAAGAATAAGAATAAATTTTAGAATATCCATAATATTTTTATTTTATACTAAAAACTATATATATATATATATATTAATATATACTTAAAAATAGAAATAACTAAATTTAATATTATTTTTACTAAAGAAAGTACTGTAAGAATTGATAATAAATCTAAGGAGTAATAATATTAATCCTAATTTATAAATTTATATCTCATCTATATTAATCTAAAAATAGAAGGTTCAATAATAATTATAAAGCTTAAAAGAAGAAATATTTGAAAAAACATTATGTTGAGTTTAAAATTATCCTATTCTAGTAAAAGAATTCTATTAATCAATAAAAAAAATTGAATGTTAACAATTTTTTTAAAAAAATACATACTATATATGTAATTACTAAGAAACTACATAAAAATTAGAAATATTTTTTAAAAAATTATAAAATTTATTAATAATAGATTTTATAAATATTTTAATTTAATAAAAGAATTTTTTGAGCTATTGACAATTCAAACATCTATAAGATTTATTTAGATTTTAATATAAAAAAGATATATATCTAATGCATTAATAGAATAGAAAAAAATAAAACAAATTACTTAATACCTTATATTTAAAAGTAGAGTTAAGAATACTAAGGATGCAAAACAACTACTAAAGGAAGTTTATTTATACTTTTATCTATAATCACATCTTACTTAAGTATTCTAAATTTTTAATTAATTACTTTGATATATTTATAATTAAATATGTGTTTTTTCATCCATGAGTTATTTTATCTCTTGCAAAAGGAAGAATTATATATACAAGTTATTTGCTTGTTTGTTTTTGACAAATTTACAACAATTTGTCCATATTTGATAAGACCATTCTAAACTAAAATTTTAATTTAAAATGTACACCATACTTTCTTTTTTTTTAATTATTTTTTATAATTAAATATTTTATAGACAAAGACTCTATAGAAAGGAGAGATTTGAGAAAAATTACTTGTTGATAACTAAAAGATTTATAAAGACATGAATCCTAAGATTTAAAAGATTATTTATATAGAAGAAAGGTGGCTCAGTCCTAAATGTAATGATGTTGTATTGTAACACAACTATATGGTGAAAATATAATCAAAAATAAAATTTTAATTAATATATAATTATCTTGATTCAATAATTATTCAAGATATTTAAACATGGCTTTATAAAAGCCTCTCAGTTTATTTTTTTATCTTAATAGTTATTAAGTTAAAGGTTAGTTAGTAATTTTACCTTCTACATTGTAGAGACTCTTTTCATGCATTAGAAAGACCACAAATTAGTAAAATCAGATTAGAAGAGATAAATAATTAGCATAGTTGATACTAGGATTATATTGAGAGTAGAATTGGGCTAAAAAATCCCTAGGATAGGATAGATTATTACTTGGGGGTTGACTATTGTCATAGTACATGTTTTTCTATCTAGGAATACACTAGGTATTTGATTGTGGAGAGCTTATTTTTGGTTTAATGGCTTCTTACTCAACAACTAATTTATCTATAGCAGTCAAAAATTACCAAAATCCCATGAATACAATAACTGCAGTAGTAACAGTAAACAATAACATTAACAGTAATCAATAACCAATAACAATTATTGGCTTTGATAACAATAACCAATAGCAATAACCAATAGTAGTGACAATAACTAATATCCAATAATAATAACCAATAATACTCACAATAACTAATGATCAAAAATAATAACCAATAATAGTAATAATAATCAATA